TTAAGGGGGTCTGAATACTTTCCGTACCCACTGTATATACTACTATCTTCTGTAGAACTGCTTTACAGCTGAAATTAATATTTAAAACATTTTAATTAATGGTTTATTTATGTTGAAGATATTTATAAATAATTAAAAAATGAATAAAACATTAACATTGTTATATTTTAAGAACTAGTTGTCTTCTAGTTCTAGATCTAGATCTTCTGTAGAGTTGCTTTACAGATTAAATTGAATTTTTCACAATTAATTCTTTCATAAATAATATCAAATGCATATTAAAATTAATATAAATATTAAATATATAATTGATAATATTTTAAAAAAATGATCCAGACAGCATTTGTTGGCAATACTGTGCTGTGTTTTGTCCACTTGGACCTGTTGAACTTGCTGTTTCTTTTATTTTTTCTGTCTATCATTTCCTGTTCTCCATCCTTGGCCGAAACACCTGTCCTTTCTGATCTTGACCTTCGACCTCCAGATGAACTCTATGCTCAGAAGCTGAAATATAAGGCCTTTAGTGAGGAGCTGGATCATGCACTCAATGCTATGACCTCCTTATAGATGCTTTCTATGCGTCAGAAGTGCTTGAGCCGAACATTATGAGTGCTAACTGTGATTGACAGCTCTCTCGTTCAATCAAGCGCTGCTGCTCTGCATAAACTATCCTGATTGGCTGTGCCTCTGTCTCTCTTTCTCTGCTCACCCTTTCTTCCTCACTGGTGCCTTATGTATTTTGCACTCTCTGAAAGTTTGATTATTCCTCTAAAATTAAATACGTTTTTTTCCCTTCTTCTCTTTAAACACTCCCTTTTGTTTCATTTTCTTGCTTTTAAAAACATTAAATATTTTCTGCCTCTCTGATCTTGTGTCTAGTCTTAATCTTTCTCCATCTTTCTTGCTCTTTTCATAGAGAAAAAAAAATAATGGAACACTTATTAACTTGTTTATATTAGACGTGCGATAATTATATTTAAGGTGTTAATATCCTCTTTTGTGTAATGTAATACTTTCATTTATGCATTTATTTAATTTTTTTTTTTTTTTTTAGTTTTGCTGCAAAATATTTAAATATATGCATAAATATACTGTAAGTAGTTTGAGAGCACAGGGCAACTATTTGTTAAAAAAAAGCACTTTGCATTTATGCATTTAATCCAAAGTGACTTACAATAGTATAATAATCATCATCATAATCATAATAATGTAAAAATATTGATTTTAAATATTTGTTTATATTCTAACAAAAAAGTTTTACTGCAAAATATTCATATATATGCAAATATATGCATCATCATAATCATAATAATGTAAAAATATTGATTTTAAATATTTGTTTATATTCTAACAAAAAAGTTTTACTGCAAAATATTCATATATATGCAAATATATGCATTTTTTGTTGTTGAAATCACACTTACATTTATGCATTTTATCCAAAGCAACTTACAATAGTGGAATAATAATAATTTTAAATGTTAATTTTTAACTTCAACAATTTGTTTAAATAAAAGCATACTTAAGCGACTTAAGAATCTCAGAGCTTATTGTATTTCTGTCTTTAAAAAGGTTTCTGCATTATCTGTAAAAATCAGTTTCTCTGTGGAGGCGAAATGCATGGGATTTTACATCCATAACCCAGCTGTGGTTTACTAGTTTAAAGCCTGGAATGGGCAGGCTTGTTATGCAATCAACACTTTAGAGAACCATGTTTAGTAAAGTGTCACAGATGTTTGCAGTCAGCTACTGTGTCTCTTTAAATCATCGTGCTGGTTTCTTTCAGAGGATGTGGCTGAGGCAAAACAGCAGAACCTGGAGATGCATCAAGTCCTGGATCAAACGCTTCAGGAGCTCAATAGCTTGTGAGCAAACAAGAAGAAAACCATGAAGAACATTCCAGAATTTCTCATCCATTCCAGCAGTGTTTTATGTTTAGCTTTTCATGTTTTGTATAAGTTGTGTTATTTCCATCCATTATTTTTTATATTTTGCTTTGCAATTTTCTGATTATTTCCTAATGCACCTATTAGTCCATTAAATAATAAATAATGTCTTGTTGTTTCCATTTATCCCTTTTAAATACAACTCCCGACACCATATGTGGCATAAAACCAAATGCCTTGCCTTTAATGGTTATGTTTTTGGACTTAAAAATGATGACCCATCACTGCATGTAAGAATGTTTCCCTTTTTCAGGTCTTGGTGCTGTTTTATTTATTTCTTTGGAATGAACATAAGGTGGAAGGTATACTTAAAACAGTAGAAACGCAACAACGAAAGGTCACAGAGCAATTAGTACATCACATTTTCGTTGTGATGTTAGGGATGTTATGCGAATGTATCAAAAACAAAGTTGTAAAGGCGTTATGTATGGGAACACAAATTTTCTTGGACTATTTGTGGCATTAAGAAGTTTTTATTAGTTTGTCATTTATGGGACCATTTTGTACCCTTGATGCTGCAAGTGCTATTTTCACTGTGGTCTGATGTTTTTTTATATCTGTTAAACTAAATAAATGTTTACTTATTTGCACTCCACACTAATAATATTATTATTATTTAAATAAATTAATTAAACTTGTCTGTTGGCAAATATATCACAGGAAAAGTATGGAATTATATCTTATTAAAGATGATGATTTTTTTTTTGCATTTTTTCCCTATTTCCATGAATATTCCACCTCAAATTCTCGTTATTGTATTGCAGAAAAAAATAATTATATGTATATATAATATATGAATAAATACAAACGTTTACATTTAAATATTTATGAATATAAAAATTGTTTTACATTAATATCCAGAAAATAATCCACTGGCCTGAAGCCAAGATTTATAATGGAATTTGACCGGCCACACACACTAATTTGCAATGACCTTGAGGCACAGACTGTGAAGGTATGAGGTCTTGTATTAGTTCAGGAAGCACGGTTTACGAATCCCACTACGACGAAGGCTATGCTTATGAATATTAATCGTGCACGCTGACGTGCGACGTGGCCGCTACGACAGCTGGCGATTGAACGTATCCTACTATGACGGAGGATTGTCTCACCTCATTAATATTAATTTACGCAGCCTTCGCCAACGTGTGATTGGTCAGTTCCTCGCTGCTTTGCGGATTCTGCGCTGTCTGCTTAAGTACCGGGCGGGATTTCCGCAATACATTAAGTATGGCGAAGACCTACGATTATTTGTTTAAACTGCTGTTAATCGGGGATTCCGGCGTCGGGAAGACCTGTGTGCTGTTCAGATTCTCGGAGGATGCCTTTAACTCGACGTTTATTTCGACGATAGGTATTTATGTCTCTGTTTTAAAGGTTTTATGCTCGGATTGTTTATGAAACGTCAGGCTGTGCTAACGGCTAAGCTAATGGACTAGTATCTGTCTGTTAGCTCTTCTCGAGTTTATGTGGTTTGTTTTGTTTCTTAACTTTGACAGTTCTGCTGGTGTTTTGTCTTTTAATGAATTATTTTGTGCGGTGATTAGGTGTCTATTTGATGAACGTTTCTGCTGGATAGCATCTAACGTTAGTTGTTCTGGCAGAATGACTCGGATACTAAAATGATAGATTTTGTAAACAAAAATTTTTTTTTTTTCAAATAACTAGAATCATTAGGTGAATATCCTATTAAAATGTTTAAAACATATGATTAGAAACCTGTTAGCCAGTGGTTACCCGTTTCACACACTATAAGTCGTTTAAGACTCAACATTTTACTGCTATAATAACATGCATGTCCATTTTCATTTAAATAGTTTTACATAAAACTATTACTGTGGTAGTGTTGTACAGTTATGCTAATATCAGTTGGTAATGCCACTGTACTTTGATATACAGATACCATGGTGCTTAATGATTGCTATATAAGTTTACCATGGTAAACCAAGTTACTTCATAGAATTTAACTTTTAAAACCCTGGTGTCCACATCTAAATGTTCAAGAATGTGACATTGTTTGGTAATATGTCCAAAAACATGGTACTTTTTTAATGTATTGATGTAAATGGAAAAATTTTTCATTGCTCTGTTAAGATCAGTTATAGCTTTATGATCAATCAGTAATCTATCACTTTTAAATACCGTAATATGCTTAGTGTTCATGCTTATGTTTTTCTAACTTTCTAATAAGAAAAGGTTATAAATGTCTATATTGGATGATGCTTGGTTTTATCTATCTATCTAGCATGTGTGCATAAGTATGCTATAGACATCTGTTTGCCTTTTATGTATAAAAATAGTGTGGTGGTGTTGTTGTAAATGGACACATTTGAAAGAGACACTGTATTGGGCTTGTTTTTCAGCCTATGACAGTTGTGCAGTTACGTATTTTCTCTTCCAGGCATCGATTTCAAGATCAGGACAATAGAACTAGATGGCAAGAAGATAAAGTTACAGATATGGTGAGTTTCTAGTCGTCTTTTCCTTCTCTCACCTTGTCACTCAGCGCTAGTTGAACATTAGCAGATGGCTGGAATGGCATGGGTGATTAGTTTTCTGAATGAGCCGCTGTCTGACTAGTGAAACCATGACCAGTTTAATTTCTCCTATACATAGCAGCGAGCGTGTTAAGGCCATTTCACACTGAGCGCGATGCGAATCACAGACGAACGTTGCTTTCACACTGCCAGCGACTTTTTCGTTGCATGTCGCTAGACTCTGTGCTGTGAAGACGCTTGTGGGCGTTCCTACTGCTGTCGCTCTAATGTTATTGGTAGACTGCACGTCTGGACATATCTGGACATATAAAATGCAATCACAAACTATATATATTGCCAGTAAAACTAAGATATCATTCTATTATGACTAGTAGGAATTAAAATAAATAAAAGTACCATTCTGCTGTTGGAGAGTGTTGTTATATAAACTACAGCAGTGCTCGTATATTAAATCATTAACCGGTGCTAAACTGCTCACTGCATCATATAATTAACAACTCGAACCATCAGTGTATGAATCAAACTGACTTAGACAGCCAACAGTTTCTTTTCTATGCATAATGTTTTTTAATATCCATTAGGGATGTAACGATTAACCGCGAGCCGGTTGAAAATCGATTCAAATATGTGACAATTCAAATCGGTTGAGATGCTAAACAGGGTAGGAGTTCATATGAATGCATGTCTGAGGGGAACTTACTGTCTTTAGAATAGTTTAGATGGTACTCTGTATAATGCATATTAAAGTTCATAAGTGCAGCACTGCTTTGTTACCAGCGGAAACCAAGGAAACGCTTTAAGCGCCACCTGCTGGCAGAGAGTGAATCTGCGTCTCATTCAGCTCGTCTGCTGTTTCGGTTTCATGCAGATATTTTTATGTATAGTTTCACTAAACTGAAGTCAAACCATTCTGTTTTTGCTTCAAATTTCAAAATTATACAATTTAATTTAGATTTAAAACTGCTCGTGTTGCATGTATGCAACATCTTTGTTTGGATCATGATTAAAATGCAGTGGTTGCCTCTAATTTTAAAAGGAAAGAGCACAGACAAAGCCTTATTTTGTTTATATGAAGAGATTTATTTTATTTGTGTTACTTATTTAGTTGATTTGGGGCTTGTTTTAAAATTTCAATTTAGTTTTGTTATTTACATTTACATTATAGTTAAATGTAGTCATTTAGCAGACACTTTTATCCAAAGCGACTTACAAATGAGGACAATAGAAGCAATCAAAACCAACAAAAGAGCAATAATATGCAAGTGCTATATTAGTATATTATTATAGTGTTATATTTCAATTTCACAAAGAAATGTGCAGCATTTTGTCCAAGCAATAATAAAAGGACACATTTAATTTATAATTTGTCTTAAATCTCATTTTGTAAAAAATAAAATATAATCGTGAATCGAATCGAATCGTGAGTTGAGTGATTCGTTATATCCCTAATTTTTTTGTATGTGGTTACATTAAAATCCCTGAAAACCGTGAAATCTGTCCTGTCTTGCCTGCACTCGAGACGGTGACGTGTGAGCGCCACTGACAGATTCTTCACTCCTATTGGTTGTCGCTCACGAAATTCGCTGTTAATTTGCATAAAGTTAAACATTTCTTAAAAGGGTCATATGATGCTGCTAAAAAGAACAGTATTTGGTGTATTTGGTGTAATGAAATGTGTTTATGCTAATAAAAGGACACATTTCATTTATAATTTGTCTTAAATCTCATTTTGTAAAAAATAAAATATAATCGTGAATCGAATCGAATCGAATCGTGAGTTGAGTGATTCGTTATATCCCTAATATTTTTGTATGTGGTTACAGTAAAATCCCTGAAAACCGTGAAATCTGTCCTGTCTTGCCTGCACTCGAGACGGTGACGTGTGAGCGCCACTGACAGATTCTTCACTCCTATTGGTTGTCGCTCACGAAATTCGCTATTCATTTTCATAAAGTTAAACAATTCTTAACTTTTGTCGCTTGACTCGCATCGCTTGAGATGCCCACATTCTGTCGCCAACGGTCACAAGCTGTTTCCATCACCCTATTTTAATGTGCATTTTGAAGTATCGCATGAGAAACGAGTAAAATCCCTGAAAACCGTGAAATCTGTCCTGTCTTGCCTGCACTCGAGACGGTGACGTGTGAGCGCCACTGACAGATTCTTCACTCCTATTGGTTGTCGCTCACGAAATTCGCTATTCATTTTCATAAAGTTAAACAATTCTTAACTTTGTCGCTTGACTCGCATCGCTTGAGACATTCTGTCGCCAACGGTCACAAGCTGTTTCCATCACCCTATTTTAATGTGCATTTTGAAGTATCACATGAGAAACGAGTGATGGAAATGCCAAATTTCAAATAAAAATCCCTTAATTCGCAAAAAAAGTTTTTACGCTCGCTTGAGGGGGTTTTTGACTTGTGCGAAAAAAGGTTGATGCGAATAATGGGAGATGGAAATGCATTTTGCGAATAAATTCCTCCAAGCGCATCAAAAAATTCATGTGACTTTGCGCTATGGGATGGCAAAACCTGACTAACCAGCGGACCGCTCTCATTCCACAGCATCTGAAATGTTGTTATGGTCATTCAGAAATGCACGAGCAAAGTCTGTCATCAAAGTATTTCTGTATAATTGCCTCCCAGAAATGTCTTGCACGACTGCGTTCCCAAACAGCAGCATCCACCTCTGAAAGCAATGACCACATTTATTGTGTTTCGTCTGCTCGCTCTGAGGCGCAAGTAATTTATCATATATGAAAATTATGTTCTCCTACTTTTCTTAGTGATTTATAGTGCCAGTTTATCAGGAAGTGACGATTTTGTTCTCTTTGACTTGTTGGATGGAAACGATGCTTGTTTGCAAATGTTTTATGCAATATTCCAGTGTTGCACATAAGTTAAATTCGCAACTTTGGATGGAAACCCGGCTACTGTCGCTCGTGTCGCTGGAAGTCGCCAGCTCTCCACTGAAAAGGAATGGGAGCATGTCGCTTTGTGTCGCTGACAGTGTGAACGGGGCTTAATGTATAAACGGCGACAAAGCGCGTATGCAACAAATGACGTCAGAAAAGAAACGATTAATTTCGACACCCCTATAAGGAGGGGGTCATCTTCCACTTTAAATGCATTTCAGCATGGCCGCAGTTACAACACTGATATTGTTTGATATTTACAGGGACACAGCTGGACAGGAGCGATTCCGAACGATCACAACAGCATATTACAGAGGTGCAATGGTAAGATGATGCTGAAGTATATACATTACTGTGCTTTTGTATGATGAGGTCTGACTCGCCGGTTGACCATCATGTTGTGTTCTGCACATTACACAATGTGGTGTTCCTGGTCAAAAATGCTTATACATTTTTGTTGCACATAAGTTAAATTCGCAACTTTGGATGGAAACCCGGCTACTGTCGCTCGTGTCGCTGGAAGTCGCCAGCTCTCCACTGAAAAGGAATGGGAGCATGTCGCTTTGTGTCGCTGACAGTGTGAACGGGGCTTAATGTATAAACAGCGACAAAGCACGTATGCGACAAATGACGTCAGAAAAGAAACGATTAATTTCGACACCCCTAGTAAGGAGGGGGTCATCTTCCACTTTAAATGCATTTCAGCATGGCCGCAGTTACAACACTGATATTGTTTGATATTTACAGGGACACAGCTGGACAGGAGCGATTCCGAACGATCACAACAGCATATTACAGAGGTGCAATGGTAAGATGATGCTGAAGTATATACATTACTGTGCTTTGTATGATGAGCTTCAGGTCTGACTCGCCGGTTGACCATCATGTTGTGTTCTGGTCATTGTGACCTGGAGAAGATATTCTTTTTCCAGAACAAAGTAGTTAATGTTATTGCATTAGACCAAAACCTACTGACACTAGGTATAATTACTTCCCAAAAATATTTGCCTTTTTTTTCCCCCCACCTCATTACACAATGTGGTGTTCCTGGTCAAAAATGCTTATACATTTTTCATTATGCTATGTCATTGCCAAATATTGCATTCAACTTGCCTGTACTAATTGTGAGAAAACAAGTTTGAAACCAAAATTTAGTGATAATGAGAGTTTTACAAGCAGTATTTAAAAGAAACGAATGATTTGCATTGCCTCGTTAAATCTAACCTCCCTTTTTTTTTTTTTTTTTTAAACATGCACACAAAGCTATTTCCAAATAGTTCAGTTTTTTTAATGCAGTAGCGCTAGCTTTCATTTTAACATTCCTTCGAATAAATCCAAAACTCAGGTCTTGCTTTATCACGACCTGAAAACGGCCCAACATGAAAGCGTTCTTTAATTAAAAACACTTGAATTGACTAGTGTAATCAAATGAAACTGACACGTAGCCCTTGATAGGAAGTGGAAATCCTGAGTTTGTAGTGTTAACAAATATGCATAACCAAAAGCAATGAGAAAGGGTGACTGTGTAACCTGAAAAGCAGAGCTATACTTGAGAAAGCACCTCCCGTATACAGAAGTCCATGCACTTTATCAGTATCTTTTGTGTTGAGTGTAGTTTGTGCCAAGTGATAGTTTTGCATCATAAAGACAGCCATTTTTACATAGTTACATGGAGTATGGCGTGCTGAATTCATGTTCGTTTTGAGATTAAGGCGTTTTTATTCCCCCAAACATTTTCAAGGAACATTTCTACAAGCCGCTTATCCTGATAGCTGGTTTTATGCATTGGCTGCTAATTTGTTCATATTTCTCATGTATTATGAATGGACTGTACATGTAGCATCTGAATTACAGTCCTACAGCATGTCAGTCTTAATTAGTTTGGGTTGCACAGTGTAAAAACGAACAGATTTGGTTCATATGACTAGGATTAACTACCCAGAAGACAGCAATCCACCATTCCTGAGTTCTGAATAGTGTTGTCATAAGCACATGCTTCTAATTAATGCAAGAAATGCAATGCTAGAGAGTTGTACTGCCTTTCAAAAGCAAACTGCAGTTAAATATGAGTTTTCACACTGATCAGCTGAGTCAAACTCACCCGCCACAAGAGACCTTTATTTTGAGAAATTGTGTAGTTTTTCCTTTGCACAAATACGTGTACGCAAATGTACATTTTGTAGTCGTATTGTAAAATGAAACATGTCATTTGGTGCAGTTGTGTTCACCAGCAATAGGTCAGGAAACTACCAGAAGCTTCAGCACCCATTAGATTTGAGTGGGGAAAAAAAATCTGCATTTATAAAAATCCAAATAAGTGAATATCTCACAACTTCACGAGAACACATTCAGGTCAGATTTCACCCCAAAAACCAGTTCATTTAGCATTTTGTTGTTTTCATGACAAACATGTGTTTCCATGAATGGAATCTGATTCTTATTACTGTATCACAAAAATTAAGTATATACATAAAATAAAACGGTTTACATATCAGGACTGTGTGTTGTACCAGCTTTAAAACAAATCATTGAAATAGATTTTTATTTTATTTTTTTACATAATGAGAATTCAGGAAGTTAATTGTCATGAAAATGTCAAAAAATGTTCTACATATATATATATATATATATTCCATATGATTTGGGGTGTTGTGTGACCTGAAAGTGTTTTTAAGAGATTAAAAGGCTAAGAAGCACAGTGTTTGACTGTTTTCGAGGCAGAAGTGCATTAAATTCTCTTCTTGCTGCAATATGGCGCATCCTAAAAATGGCCACTTTCCTTTTCTTTTTCCAAGCTTAATTGTTGATCAACTTGAAATGACTTCCTGTTTGCACCTTGTTCTCTTTCCACCTCAAGAAGATGCCGTTTTGGGTTCATATTTGCGTTAGAAGCTATATGTCGGTTTAACGGAGGTCGGCCCATCTTCATCTGTACCCACAGCATCTCTCTTCGCTCCCTGTCCAATAATGTCCCCAACTTGCCGTTTGTCTTAATAACTAATACTTGATCTTTCATTTTGGATCTATGCATCATGAAGGCGATACTGTTGACCTCCAGTATGTTTTGTGTGTGTTTGTTATTTTCTATAGAAGTCCTGTACATTGAAGCCTTGGTCTGGTTGTCTGTTCTGAGCTTTAGAGGACCGTCTGCTAATGTTAATGGACCTCAGACGAAATTTAATCTGGCCTTAGGGTGTTTTAAAGTGATAAAATGCAAAAACAATATAACAGACAGCTGGCAAAACATTATTTCATTTGTGGAAAAGAACATTAGCAAACAGGTACCGCTTTCTGTCTTAAACGGCTTTGCAGTCACGTCGTGTTTATTGAGCAGTGATACGTACGTCTGTCGATCTCAGTTTTTGCTGTTTAGTTTCTCTTTCTCGTATTTCTTGATTTGAAACGACTGTCATCCATATCATTTACAGATTCTTTTTATATGACCATGTTTTCATTTGTCGATTGTGAGGTAACTGGGGAGATCGGTAAATTACATTTTGGTATACAAAAGAAACAATTGTAAATAACTCTAAAAAGAGATCTACTTAAATTGTACTGTACTTTCTAAAACGTTGAAAAACGGATCTACAGTTTTTGTAGATATCTGTACTTTTGATTTATTAAAATAAGATTCTTTTAAGAGATGGATTTGTGTGTGTGTTTAATATTGATGGATGAGTTATTTTTTAGGTGTTGATTTGCTGTCGGCCATCCCCAAAAAATAAGCTTTACTTTAAGTAGATTATTGTCTTGTTTATATGTTTAAGAATTCTTATATTTCATTCAAATATATTTGTAAACATTAATATTGGATATACAGTCTTATGTTTGTACAGGTGCCTTCTTTATTTCTTGACTTCTGAATCTGCTCCGAAAGCTCTTACATCATCTTTAGAAAGTCATTTTCCTGTGGTCCAGTGTCCAGATGATCTTCATATCCTGATGTGGAAGGTGCTAGAAGAGAAAAGATCAAGACATTTTCAGGGTTGAAAACATAAAGAGCCAACTCTATCAAAATCATCTGTATACTGTTGATTAGTCAATGTAAAATGTGCACACTCTGAAAAAAATTAAACCATTTTCATTAAGAAATTGCTTAATTTCACAAATAATTCCAAATAAACAAGTAACAGAGAATTACATGTGAACTTTTGAAGTAGAAAGACTTGCATTGTATTTCTTGCTAAATGTATTCCAATAATCTTTATTTACAAGCTGCAGCTTGTGGCAAAAATGATTTAATATCATTAATATTATATTAAGTCTAGGCCATGTTATACATAAAATATGTGATACTGATTTTCAGTACTGATTGATACTGAGCAGTAAGCTGGAAATACCAGATTTAAAGAATGAGCGATTTTAAATTGTTAAAAAATATACCCTCATAAAAGTGAAAAATGCCCCTGAAAATCAAAACGAAGGGGCAAATGTTGGTCTTTAATGGAAAAGCAAGTAGACCCAACAAATCAACATATTAATGTCATAGATGCTTAAACTAGAGTTTAAGTGGTATTAAACCAGCATATTCCTTTAAAATGGTAAAGATATGATTAAAGGGGTCATATGATGTTGCTAAAAAGAACATTATTTTGTGTATTTGGTGTAATGAAATGTGTTTATGCGATTTAAGGTTCAAAAAACACATTCTTTTCCACATACTGTACATTATTGTTTCTCCTCTATGCCCCGCCTTTCTGAAACGTGTCGATTTTTACAAAGCTCATCGGTCTGAAAAGCGAGGTGTGCTCTGATTGGCCAGCTATCCAGTGCGTTGTGATTGGCCGAATACCTCAAGTGTGTGATGGAAATTTTACGCCCCTCACCATACTGTGATGATGTTCGGCCGGAGCGATGAGACAAAAACATTAAAACCCATTATAAACGAGGCATTTGTTGCATCCAGTGGGGACATAATTAAGGATTATTGGGGGCGTGTTAGAATGTGCCGTTTTAGGTAGGCGTGGTTGAATCTTAACTTTTATAAAGAATATCTCTTTGGATTGAGACTTTAGTCTTTGCAACTTTACAGATCTTCTTTATGCACCAAGAGCTTGTAACACTCCAAAGAGAAAGGAAAAATTGAAATCGCATCATATGACCCCTTTAATTGAAAATTAATAAAAATAATAAAATTAATTAATTTAATTTTAATAAAACAAACTGAAATTTGTTTAACTAAAAGACTTAAAATTACTAAGTGAAAATAAAAACGAAAACTTACTGAAACTTAAAAATTAATTAAACCTTAATAGTAACATAAACTAATAAAAAAATTAACTAAGTAAAAAATTTAAAATGAAAAAAAACTGAAAATGTTAAAATAAAAACTAATTTTAAAGAAACTAAAATAACGCTGACTGGAAAGAGCAGTGGTTTAGTATCACTGAGATACTATTATAATTTTTTATTATTCATTTTTATATTTTGATTTAATTTACTTTATATTTTCAGTTTTCATTTTTTGGTTATATATCTACATAGTTTTTATTCTTATATAGTATTGTATTATTATTATACAGTATTTTATTTTAATTTTAGAATTAAACTAAAAATGAGAAATGTTGCCTTGGCAACTAGCTGAAATACTTTTTTATTGAATTTCAGTTAAAGTTTTATTTCATGTAACAAATTGTTTTAGTTTACTGTAATAACCATGTTTCAAACTGAACATCAGATTAAGTGATTATTTATTCAATTAAATCCAAAGCATCATTCTCTTACAGTTTTCATTCCAAACTGGTTTTAACAAACCCTACAAAACGTTAAGCATCATTTACAGTGTGTAGTTGTTACCTGAGGAAGTCCGGCGCTCTCATGATCATGTGCTGGAAATCCTCTAGAGACAGACGGCCGTCATTGTCCAGATCAGCTTCATCAATCACCTTCTCACACACCATCCTCACCTCATCCTCGGTCAGCTCGTCACGCGTCAGCTTATTTAAGGTTTTCTCCAGATCTGATTTACAGATGAAGTCATCGTTGTTGAAGTCTAGAGGGAAGAACGAGGGTAAGCTGTGTTAGAAAACACTTCTGTTGGTGCTGTTAAAATGTTTTTATTTGTGTTTAAAATTTAGTTTAAGCTACCAATAAAATAAAGCATGTTTTTAAAAAGCACTAGTCATGTAGAAAAGCATTTAGATAAAGAATAAAGAAAAGAAATACTGTAAATAATGTTGTATTTATCACTAATAGTTAGCACATTCACAGACCCCGAGGCATTTCACAATGCACAGCCAAAAGAAAAATGATTTACAGATTTATTAATTTATTGACCTATTTATTCTTACTCGTAAATTAAAAATTTTTTAATATCTATTTATTTGTCTACATTTTATTATTTAGAATAGTTGTAAATTAGAATATATTTTACATTTTATTTTTAGTATATTTTATTTCTTTTATATGGGGCACCCATGATAGTTCACCACACTTTGTTTTTAATACTCTCAACAATGAATCCTTCGGTGCTGAATAAGATGCATAATTTCAGCAGAGTCTCTTGTTGAAATCATTGTTCTCTATTGTTTGAGAGCGTTATCATTTACCCCGTGTTAATGTTGCATGAGTACAGGGTTTCTGATGACAGCAGCAGATCAGATTCTCTGAGATCTTTTATTCTGTTGTTTAATTAGACAGCTGCATGCTTTTCATAGCTAGTTCCCTCTTTAATGAACGTGTGAATTATTGATATTCATATGTCAGTTAAGGTTCTGCAGGTTCATGAATAGGAACAGAAGACTGAGGTCATGGTTTCGTGTACGCTACCAGAACAAATTGACTTAGGGTTATTATTGTTAACTAAAACTATTAAAAACATTTGTGTCAGTTGAAACTAATTTAAAATGAAAGCATTAGATTAAAAAAAAACTTAAACTAAACAAAAATTGGAAAAACACTCAATTTAGTGGAAATAAAAATGAAACTAAAACTAATTTAAAATTAACCTTAATAGTAGGCCTAATATTGAAAAAATAAAAAAAGACAAACTAATTAATAAAAACGTCTCAGGTTACTTATGTAACCATGGTTCCCTGAGTAGGGAACGAGACACTGCGTCCTCTAGGGGTCGCTATGGGGGAACGCCTCGTCGTGACCCGTGTCTGAAGCATACATTGAAAAAACACCAACTCGTTGGCCGGCGATGACACATCATTCACTTCTTCGTCTGAAGCTTGCGTCCGCAGCATGGCAAGAAACCTAGAGGACGCAGTGTCTCGTTCCCTACTCAGGGAACCATGGTTACATAAGTAACCTGAGACGTTCCCTTTCATGGGAACTTCGAACTGCGTCCTCTAGGGGTCGCTATGGGGAACGGTATACCCACGCCACCATGCTGAGGGGAGTGCAAGCCAGAACCATGGCGAGCACTAAGAACCAACTCTACCATATTGCTATGGGAGTCGCCCCTGGGACGTTAGACGGCTGTCAGTGACATTATTCCCTACGGCCAAAGGCCTAGGCTACATACCCCAAAATACTTACCTGTTAGGGCCAGACTCCTGGGCCCGGGGTAGAGCTCAAGGCTTGGAATCAGAAACAGATTCCTTTAAGGGAATACGACCAAGAGCCTAGAATCATACTAGTCTTGGTCTGTCACACAGGGGCTACCGCACGTTTGTCTTGTGGTGAAGGAACTGTCTCAACAGATCCTTAGAAGCAATACCCTGTTAAGTAGGTATCCAGAGGATACATAGGGGGAGTGGTGCCCAAGGCAGAACCGGGGTTTTAAACCACTCAAAAAGAGCACGAAGTCTTGCGCGTAGCTCTTACCATACAGGATTTTTAGAAAAGTGGGCAAAGCATAACGTGCGCACTTACCAGCTATGTGGATTTTAGAAAAGTGGGCAAAGCATAACGTGCACACTTACCACTTATGTGGATTTTAGAAAAGTGGGCAAAGCATAACGTGCACACTTACCACTTATGTGGATTTTAGAAAAGTGGGCAAAGCATAACGTGCACTACACTTGCATACCGTTCTAGGGGTTCTCGTGGCACCCTGAAAAGGCAGCCTATAGATAAAAATAGCGTATCCCCAGACGCTATATCTACGGCTATAATGCTGGAGTGGCTAGCAGTAAATCTGTAGCTGGGGGAGAACATCCAACTCTCAATGGAGAGGGAGCTCAACCTACAGCATGTTCCCATGGTGGAACAGCTAGCAGTTATTCAGCTGAGGGAGCAACACACTCAGCTCTCAAACCGAGACGGGGCTCGACCTGCAGCATGTTCCAAACTGGAACAGCTAGCAATAGTTTACTTAGCTGTGGGGGCAACACACCTAGTTCTCAGTCGAGAAGGGGGCTCGGCCTACAGCATGTTCCAATGCAGGAACGCTAGCAGTAGTTTACCTTGGCTGAGGGAGCACAAACCCAGCTCTCAACGAGAGGGAGCTCGACCTGCAGCATGATTGAAAATCAGAGGGGTAAGCATACTGCAGTCTAGCCAAACTCTCATTCCAGGTAACCCTTTGATAAAAGGGGAGCATTGTCTCAATACTACCACGAGGACAGCCCATGGAGCGAGGAATCTAACTCCTCAGAGAGGATTAACGCTCGAAAGAAACATCATACTCACAATAACCCTCAATGGTGAGGGGGGGTGATGCCTCAAGGGGATATCCTGGTGATCGGGAAAAACCCCTCAGGGCGACCCGGATACGGTAGACCAGTCAGGGTAGCATGAAAGCGTAAACCCCAGCCCGGACGTCCAGGAAATTTTCTGCAGTGACACCGGGGGCCTGATAATCACAAAACTCCCGCAGAAGCCTGTGTTATAGCCGCATGATCCAGGAAGTATGAAACAGAAACCTTACTTACCTTCTGGACATATCTCGACGAGTGAAATAAACACTGCAAGTCGAGCACCCGGTTTCTGAACCCAGCACGGGAAACACTGCAAAGAAACTAGCAGAAGGGTACACACAACCACCAATTCCATAGCACATACATATATTTATATACATATATTTAGACATGGATCGTACTCACCCACCACGGCTCCCGCGTTGGAGCTCTGTCCGGAAAAGCCTCTAGACCGGACCTTCAGTAAGGTGGTTACTATGATAACCATAGAACCAACCAAAAACATCATAGGTCCAGAAGGAGACTGTTATGCAGGAAGCTTCCACCTGACCTCGGTCAGGTGGCGATATGGTGGTTACAGGGGAATTAGGAAGGGGAAGAAAGGGGTAGATGTTACACCCCCTGAGGAAAAGAGTGGATACCTAAGTATTACTCTGATCCGGACAAAAGCGCTGACGCCTTGTCTGGATCACATCCCTCAGGTCCTGCCTACCTCCCTTCGACCCACGATACTTCCTACCCCTACCCGCAGGCGGAGGAGGAGCGCGAGTCGCGACACTAGCCTTCTGTGCTCGTCTCTGATCCTCAAATCGAGACGGACCAGGACCCCTGGGTTGTTCGGGCTCAGACCTGGACCTTCGTGGAATGAAGGTTTTGAAGGCCGCTGAGCGCGCCTTCGCCTCCCTGAACTTTTCGACGACCGCCTCAACGGATGTACCAAAAAGTTCAGAGGGCGAAACCGGGGCATCGAGAAGAAAACCCCTTTCTTTCTTCCCGATGTCTGCCAGGTTTACCCACAGCTGCCTCTCCGTTACTACCATCGCTGCCATAGATCTGCCCATGGCAGAGGCAGCCTGCTTAGTAGCACGAAGAGCAAGATCCGTGGTGCGGCGTAACTCAGCCATCTCATCAGAAGAAAGGCCCTCGCCTTTATCCAGGTCTTTCAGCAGATCAGCCTGGTATGCTTGAAGCACCGCCATCGTGTGCAGTGAAGCAACAGCCTAACCTGCTGCTGCGTATGCCTTGCCATTCATTTTAGATGTAGCTTGAAGAGGCATGGATGGCAAGGAGGGAGTTTTGAGAGATGATGTCTCTCCCATAGAGAGATAGCTAGCTAGCGTCTCTTCTACAGGGGGCATTCTCTCATAGCCGTTTTCGCGCACCGCCTCGATATTCGCATAACTGGTATGCTGAAACCGATGGATGCGTGAGGAAAACGGCTTCTTCCATTCCTTCTCGATCTCAGTATGGAGATCAGGAAGGAAAGGAAGACTCACCTGAGCTGGAGGGTTATGGCCAGAAAGATAACGTTCGTCGAGACGACCTCGCGACGCCACTTCCTTAGTCCGCTTCCATGGCAAGTCAAGTCTTGCCGTGGCGCGACCCATAACCTCTAAGAGCTCATCATACGCAGGGCAGGAGGATTGAGAAGGCTCAGCCTCAGCTTCTCCGCTCTCATCATCCATTTCCTGCTCTTCCTGGGCTGACCCCAGCAGAGCACTGGCCCCTGGATCAGATGATGTTAAAGAGAGAACATCATCCTCCAGTGGCTGTCTCTCGCCCCCCGCCGATGAGCGCGAGAAGGAAAGCCCCTCTCTAAACTCATCGGCCAGGTCCACCTGAGATCCCCACGAGCTCATTCTCCTCCGTGCCTCAGCAGCGGAGGGTCCTGAACCGCGGGAAGCAGATGGCTGCCCCTCTTTACTTGAAAAGAGAGACAAACGAGAACGGAGTTTTTTCATTGGAAAAAACTCACAATGCACGCAGATTGCCCCCTCGAGGACACCGCGTGCGTGCTCCTCGCCCAAACAAACAACACATAAATCGTGTGTGTCATCTGGTGTCAAATAGCGCTGACACGGATGCACACACCTTCTAAATGCTCTACTAGTGCTCGCCATAATAAATAGATAGCTCTTACTTTTTCCTTGAAAATGCACGCTTCAAACAGAACAGTCAATGAAGACGAAGAAGAGAACGATGTGTAGCTCCCGGCACCGATTTATACTGTAGTCGCACCGGTAGTGACGTCATGGCTGTCGCCGGCCAACGAGTTGGTGTTTTTTCAATGTATGCTTCAGACACGGGTCACGACGAGGCGTTCCCCATAGCGACCCCTAGAGGACGCAGTTCGAAGTTCCCATGAAAGGGAAACGGAGCTTTTCGAACTCCGAGTCAGTTGAATCAAATGATTCATGATTCAGTGATTCGAATCTCCGCACGCTGACGAGTCCTGCTGCTCAAAACTAGACAACTTTGACAAACAATAGCGTTTTTTAAAAGTGTGTAATATACTAATCATTAAATACCTAGTAATCAAAGTAAATAATATTTGTGTTGGAGAGATGGTGGTTACAGGGGAATTAGGAAGGTTAAAGATAAGGAAGATGTAAGACCCCCGAAGGAAATGAGTAGATACTGAGGTATCACTCTGATCCGGACAAAAGCACTGACGCCCTGTCTGGATCACATCCCTTAGGTCTTTTACTCACCTTCCTTTGACCCGCGATACTTCCTACCCCTACCCGCGGGCGGGGGAGGAGCGCAAGCTGCGACACTAGCCTTCTGAGCCAGTCTCTGATCCTCAAAACTGAGATGGGCTAGGACCCCTGGGTTGTTCGGGCTCAGACCTGGACTTCTATCCCGGTCTTTCAGCCGGTCAGCCTGATATGCTTGGAGCATCACCATCATGTGCAATGAAGCGACAGCCCGACCAGCTGTTGCTGCGTATGCCCTGGCATCCGAGCGAGATGTCAAGGAGGGGAGTCTTAGAGGATGTCTCACCCATAGAGAGATAGCTGGCTAGCGTCATAACCGCTTTGCGCATCGCCTCGATGTTGGCATAACTTGTATGCTGGAATCGATGCACGCTTCAAACAAAACAGTCAATGAAGACGAAGAAAGAGAATGATGTGTAGTTCCCGGCGCCTATTTATATTATAGTCGCACCGGTAGTGACGTCATGGCTGTCGCCGGCCAACGAGTTGATGTTTTTTCAATGTATGCTTCAGACACGGGTCACGACGAGGCGTTCCCCCATAGCGACCCCTAGAGGACGCAGTTCGAAGTTCCCATGAAAGGGAACTATACTAATACTAATTAACATTGGTCCTTTCAAAATAGAACATCAGTTTAGGTGATTATTTATTATCCTATTACATCCAAAGCATCCTTCTGTGACAGATTTTAAACAAATGCTCAATAAATTACATGATTAAAGAAAAAATAAATCTATAATGAACTTGAGGTTTGGATTTTCATTAAAAAGGAGAAACTGCCTCTTTTTCTTTTTTTTAATAAACACTTTCTTAATGAATTAGTTGATATGCTTTTAAAAATGATTTTTAACATTTTTTTAAAGATTCATGAGTTTTGGTAACATGACTGGGAAAATTTATTAAGTTACCTGAGACTGACCAATACACATTTTGAATACTTAAATATGGGTTATTATTCAGTGTTGAACAAAGTGTAAAAAATGCATTCCAAATCAATGAACTCACCAGTTTAACTAACTTTAACCATTTTTACGTAGAAGCACTATGTTTGTTTAAAACTGACCGTAGATTTTAAAAGCGTAATATGCCTTCAGGTCCCGTGGAGCCATTTCACTCAGCACTGAAAACATGTCCAGAAAGTCGTCCAAAGTCATGTTTCCTTCTCCATCCTCTGAAAAAACCTCAGCGATCCTCTGCCTGAATGGGTTGTCCTGCATAAAACACATTTTCTTCTTAAATAAATTCCTCCAAAATAATCTAGACCACGAACTGGTGGTTCTAATTCGTATGATTTCGTAAAATCTCATTCGTACATTTCCGTACGACCTGCTTACGCCTCAGTGACGGTTATTTTTAGGGGCGGGGTTTTATAGGGTTAGATCTCTGCCACAATTCTGCGCGCGAAAGATCATCTTTTGAGCGCACAAAAGTGCATTTTGCACACGCGAGATCTGAGTTTTGTGGAGAAATTGTTCATTTTGCAAATAAAAAAGTATTTCGAGCGCACTAAAATCAATTTTGCATTTAAAATACGTTTTTGGATGTGTGCAAACCTTCTCTTTTGCGCGTGCAACGTTTCACTAGCTTGCTCACCTGATGCCCGCCCTCAGGTCCTTCAAGAGTCACTCTCAACTTCTCTGTCTATAAAGCCTATATATATAAAAAAAATCAGTCTTCAAGTATGTTACTACACTTCAGTATGTGATTCTTATTAAGTAGGGGTCATTTTTTAGGATTCTATATGATGAGAACCTGACAGCTTGTACTTCTGGAGACTCCAGGTAGGTTGCAGTTCTGGCGCTGGAGACTAAATGGTTCCTAGTGATTTCACACTTAATTCTTCACCTTAATTCCTAATTCTTTAGCAGTTAACATGCATCTTTTCTTCTCCACATGTTTTTGACTGACCCTTCTGACCCACTGAGCATTTTGCTGTCCAATGGTTATGCATTAACTTTGCAATTTCTAGTATTGTATTAGTTTTTAATATTTCTCATGGGCATTTAATAATTTTTGACTTTCAGTCTGAGTTAAATCTCTTTTTTGACTCATTTTATCTCTAAAAGAAAATCTGCTTAATCATTATGCACACCTGAATATAAGAAATTTTTCACTTCCAGCCTTCATGAATAATTATATATCAATTATAAATAATTAAATACAAGATTAATAGTAGTTATTAAGATTGTTGTCATTTGGAATTGGTCAAATGTGCTTGAAAAAAAATATGATCAGAATATCAACTTGCATAATAATTATGCATGCACTGTATTTTTCCTCTTCTGCTGTCGAGGTAATGCAAGGAATGTTGTGATTGGTTGTCAAGTGCAAAACGCACTTTTGCGCGCTCAAAATATGATATTTCGCGCACAGAATTGTGGCAGAGATCTAATCCCATAGGGTTTAGGATGGATTTTTTCAAAAAAATCATACGTTTTCGATTCACGTCTTACGAATTCATCCGAAATTGCCATCTCGTAAACCATTTTTATACTCTTCTTGATAGTTTTGTATATAAATCGTTTTAATTCGTCTTTACCTGCTTGAGTCGTTTATAAGCTGCACGTGCAATAAAGAGCTGCTTCGTTGTTGAAAACGACTGAAAACATTTGAACGTTTTGTTTCCTATAGTGGATTTTAGGTAAATATCCACCTCAACCAGCGCTCTTTTGCTCTTTTTGTTTTCTGTCGAATACATTGTCCTGTTACTCTTTCGGAGTAAGAAACCGCTGCAAACTATTCAGTGCGTGAGTGAACTGTCCGAATGAAGCTGATGTTAAACTGAACTGATGCCAGGGTTTCGCAACATTGCAGTTGCGTTGCTGTCTATGCAGGGTCAGAGAGCTCTCAGATTTCATCAAATATATCTTCATTTGTGTTCCTAAAATGAATTAAGTAATTAATTAAAGAATTTTCATTTTGGGGTGAACTATCCCTTTTAAGTTTCCCAATTCCGAGGGAAAACAGCGGACTTGGCAACACAGCGAATCTGGCATTGCTAGTTCTGAATCCTAAACAGCTGAGAGAAAACTTATCAGAATAAATGGCAAATGGTAACCGCCATCATCATATTATTCGTAAATCACTCATTTAGAATATAATTGGATAAGATCAAGTGTCTGCAGGCTATGTGCGTGTCTAAAATGCTTTAGGATTGTTTTTTCTCTTTGCTAATACAAACACTTCATTAAAGGGTTAGTTCACCCAAAAATGAAAATTAGCCCATAAATTACTCACCCTCAAGTCATCCTAGGTGTATATGACTTTCTTCTTTCAGATGAATCCAGTCAGAGTTATATTAAAAATGGTCTTTGATCTTTCAAGCTGTTTAATGGCACTCAGCGGGTGTTGCATGCATCAGTCCAAAAGCAGTTAAATAAAATGAGCCCATCTTTAAAAAAAAGTGTCTCACACGACTCCGGGGGGTGAACAAAGGCCTTCTGTAGTGAATCAATGCGTTTTTGTAAGAAAAATATCCATATTCAAAACGTAATAATCACATTAATGTAGCTTGCACTCACTGTTGTACACTGGAAGCAGCTCTGGGAGAATGAAGTAAGACGTCGGCGTTGCGCATGTGCCGGTGAGTCTCGTGAAAACCAACGTTTGTTTACAGGAGCAAAGGAAGCAAAGTTTCCTTACTTTAGCAAAGGAAAACCAGTCTCCTCTTGGCTTATATCGAAATCCTCCGACATTCTTCTTTACAAATCCTCGTTTTGTACTTCTAATTAGTGACAGTTGTTTTGTTTTCATCTCTTGACTGCGTCACTTCTGAGCAGCGCATGCGCAAAGCCGACCTCATACGTCATCCGCCCGGAACTGCTTCCAGTGTACAACAGTGAGCGCAAGCTACATTAAAGTGATTATTACGTTTTGAATATGGATATTTTTCTTACAAAAACGCATCGATTAATTACAGGAGGCCTTTGTTCACCTCCCGAAGTCATGTGAGACACTTTTTTTATGGATGGGCGCTTTTTGATTAAGTACTTTTGGACTGATGCATGCAACACCCGCTGAGTGCCATTAAACAGCTTGAAAGATCAAAGACCATTTTTAATATAACTCTGACTGGATTCGTCTGAAAGAAGAAAGTCATATACAGGATGACTAATATTCATTTTTGGGTGAACTAACCCTTTAAACTAAACTAAGCTGCTGGTTCTCTTAAGTTAAGGGGATCTGATAATGCTTCATAATTGATGAGGAACAGGAGTGAGCTGCGCCGTACCTTCAGCTCCGGCATGCTGCCAATCAGCTCGTAGGGCAAACTCACTTCCGGTTGGTTTGTGTAGTCCAGCGGCACGAGCTGTGGAGCTAAATCATGGTATCGATGAAACAATCTGAGCAAAGACGACAAACATTCATTGGCAACTCTTTTCAACTATTCTTCTATCATGTAAGTTTGTAATGTGACATCTTCCTACTGTCAGCTCAGATGACTTTTCAATTTCAGCCACATAAAACCAGCAAGTAGCCTATTTTAATAAGCACCTCACCTCAGAATTTCTTTTCTGGTGAAATAAGTGCAGTCCTACAAAAATATGAGAAGCAAAAACATGCAATTATTTATTTATGCTCAAATTACCTTCGTGCAAATGCTTTATAATTGTGTGAGGAAAATAATGAGTTGCAAAGCAACCATACATATCCATGAATATAGCTGTTAACATGACCATTTGAATATCAATTCTCAGTATTATCTTTACCATTTTAACTTTAAACTTTCCAGCAGTGCATCTGTGTCATGTACTGTATACACAGTTGTTCAAAAGTTTGGTGTTAGTAAGATGTTTTAAAATAAATCAATACTTTTAATCAGCGAGAATAAATTATATCGATCAAAAGTGACAGTAAAGACATTTATAAAGTTACAAAAGATTTCTACTTCAAATAAATGCTGTTCTTTTAAACTTTCTATTCATCAAAGAATGCTGAAAAATAAAATGTGTCTGTTTCTACAAAACTATGAAGCAGTTTTCAACTTTGAAAATATTCAGAAATGTTTCTTGAGCAGCAAAGCAGCATATTATACTGATTTCTGAAGATCATGTGACACTGAAGACTGGAGTAAAGATGCTGAAAATACAGTTGCACATCAAAGGAATAAATTACATTTTACAGTATATTACAAGAGAAATAATTTATTTAGTACGGAGCCCTGCACATGGCATGCAGGAAAAAAATAGTAGGCTAAATCGTGCGCATGATTTATAAATCGAGGGAACGAAATAGTAATCGTGTGCACGATTTATTTATTTTTTCTTGCATGTCATGTGCGGGGCTCCGTAATTTAGTAATAGTATTTCACAATATTACTGTTTTTATTGTATTTTTGATTAAATAAATGCAGCCTCAGTGAGCACCATTTTCAAAATCATTAAAAAATTATTATTAACCCTAAACTTTTAAACAGTATAGCGTGATATCAAAAATGATGACTGACCTGATATGCGTCCAGTTGCTGGGATGTAAAGATGGTCTGTTTGCTCCCCATTCTTACAGCTCCATGGCAAACTGGCTCTCGACTGCAGCTGAATGCCAGCAGATATTTCAGATATGAAATACTGGCACAAAGGGCCGCAGTGAGACATGGCAGATCAGGTGTCGGCCGCTGCGAGGCCTTTGGTTCTCTGATAATGGCAGCATTTCATCATTTAGCTGCCGTCAATGGCGGTCTCTCTTGGATGTGAATGTGTCCTGTCAGTCAGGGGAGAGCGGGGGAGACATCTGAGCTCCATTCACATGCTGGGAGTACTGGAAGTATGCTGCTAGGGTGAAATAATAAAGCAATAAGCCCCAAGAAGCCGTGGTTTACAGTGAATTTATAACAGCTAAGGGGCGTTGTTAGGTATGACGCGAAGCGGAGTAAACCCCCCTTAGATGTTATAAATTCACTGTAAACCACGGCTTCACGGGGCTTATTGCTTTTATAAAACGGTTATTCCATATATGTAATAAGGTTTCACAAAATAAAACCGAGCAAATAAAGTGTACTGATATTAATAAAAACAGTATTCTTCCACCAAACAATGTAGTTCCTCAGAAACAGTTGTGGTTGCAATAAAGTGGTTGCAGAGCAACACACAGAAGTAAACAAAGGTGTATGTTTGTAGAGTAATTTACAACAGCTTCGAACGCGGCTCAACCAATCAGAATCAAGGACCGGAACTATCAGGTTTATAAAATTAAATAATAATAGTGAATATAGTACAACAATATTCTAGTTTTAGTGATTTGATGTCTTTAGTTTTTTTTTATATTTAGAACGTTTTTATTTCACTTTTAGTCATTTTAGTTCTTCACTTTAGTTGCCAAAGAAACATTTGTATTTTCATTTAGTTTTTTAGTTTTCAAATTTTATTGTCTTTCAGCTTTTTATATAAATTAAAATGTTTAACCATAACAACACTGCTCATTACTTTAATGTGTCTGAGCATTTTATATTTGACTTTCCCCCATAATTCTCTATGATGACATTTCTTTTGTGAGAAACTCTTCCTTCATGCGGCTTTCAGTCATTTTAAAGTGCTTTGACTAGAGATCTCATGAAAAGCAGCTTGGTGTATTGTGTTCATATCGGCAAATGCATCTAAATTATGGCATTAAATATGCAAGCACTGGTGCATCTGTGCACTATTGTGAGTTGAATTGGTTGGCACAGAGGCTGGATGGTATCAGTTGATCTAGCAGCTGTTTACCTGCTGTTCTTTTACTTTCTCTCTGGATAACGGCCCATATCTCCACCTGTCACCTGTTGCTTTTCTTGGCACTTTTCCTGTATGACCACATGGGGTATCTCGTCTGGACAGATACAGATCAGCCTAAAGTTTACTGGTATATACATGTTATGTTTGTATTTCTTTGTTTTGGACTATTTTCTTTTTTTTTCTGTCACCATCTTCTGGTGATGTTTGGATCTGCAGATCACTAATTGGTTGATTAATGTGAGATAAATGATAGCTGATAAATGAACAGATGCATGAAAAGACTTCAAAACCCCTCTGTTAATGGGGAGGAGAAAGAGAGGGGATAAAAAAAAGGAAAAGCATGGAAAAGAAAAAAGAGGAAAAAGTAGCGGGAGAGAAAAAAGAAAAGGGGTATGAAAGGAAAGGGGGATAAAGAAGAAGGCGGAAAGTTGAATGAAAATGGTAAAAGAAAAGAAAAAGAAAGGGGGAAAGCAAAAGAGAAGGGAAAGGGGGATAGAAGAAAAGAAAAAAATAGAAGGGAAAATAAAAAAGAAATGGGAAAAGAAAAAGGGGAAAATTAAACAGAATTGATAAAAAGGAAAGAAAAAGGGGAAAGAAGAAAAGAAAAATGGAAAAGGGGAAGAAAAAGGGCAAAAGTGAACAGGAAAGAAATAGTGGAAGAAAAGAATGTTTGCAGAGCATGAAAATAGGGAAAAAGAAAACAAGAAAAGGGGAAAAGAAAAAGTTATTTTTTTGCAATAAATAAATTATCTGTCAAAAATCACAGAAAAAAAACAGCTCTACGTCATTTTTGCGTAAGACAAAAAAGGGGACGGAGGTTAAAAAGGAAAAGCTGAAAAGAGAGAAAGAAAAGAGTTGGTAAAGAAAAACGGGGAGGATAAAGTTGTTTTTTGCAATACAAATTACCTGCAGCAACAACCACAGAAAAAAACATAACTCTACTTCATTTTTGTGTAAGAGAGAAACAAATAAACTGGGGAAAAGTAGAAAAAAAAGAAAAATCTGAAAAGATAAAAGAGGGGAAGAAGGGAAGTGGGGAAACAAGAAAATGTCTGTTTTCTGCTATATGTATAAATTATCTGGCAACAAACAGAAATAAAACCCAACTCTATCCATCATTTTTGTGTAAGAATTTATTTAGTTTATTATATAATAGTTCACAACATGCAATATACATATTTACAAGCGACCAACTCAAGCTCCTCCATATATTAAAATTTGATATCTATTTACACATTTTACAGTCCAGTCCAGATTTGTGAATGAGGTTGGTCAGTGACAGCCGCAGCTGCCGGCCACCATATCATCATACTGCTTCAGCACCACGTTCTCATCGTCGTCAAAGTACAGCAGGTTGATGCTGAAGAGCTTGTCAGGCACGCAGCAGGGCGTCTCGATGCCTTTGGTCAGTTTGAGGGCGTTGATGATGGACTGGACCGTGGCGTGGTTGGTGGGCCTCATGTTCTGACCCAGGGGAAACGGACAGGAGCCTTTGCAGTGGTAAGCGTTGTATCCGCGCGGAGACACGATCCACCCGGACCAGCCGATCTCCTCGAAGTCCACATAGAGCGGCAGACGCTGACACGGCATCTTCTCCCTGCTCTCATCATAGTCTATGGAGCGAGCGCTGCGACGAGCCGCAGCCGAGAGAAACGGGAGCCTGGGTCTAGCACGAGAATCATCTGAACCTGAAGACAAAGCACACTTTTAGATGCCATGGCCATGCAGATATGAGTGCAAGTGGCGCTCAACTTAAAATGTAAAAGTCAGCTATATATATTCCAGTTAGGGCTGCACGATTATGACAAAAATCATAATTGTCGATTATTCCCTTGAAATTGTGATTGTGATTATTAATTACGATTATCACAATTTGCACTGAATGATGTTTATACCATTGTTTGATGCAACTGCATGCCGTATTTTTATATGAAAATAAACAAGCTGAAAACATTCTAACTGAAAAACCTTTAGAGCTTTTCTATAGTATTAAGCCTCAAATGTCAAATATACATCGGATTGGTTTCTTCTTTAAATTATAAAAAAGTACAAATATGAATGGTATTACAATGTTATACTAAAACTAAAACAATGGGGAAAACCCTTACGATAACATAAGTGGACTCTGAACGATTAATTGCCGCTTTGAATGATTACGTAATTGTGGCATCCATAATTGTAATCGCGATTAGAAATTCGATTAATTGTGCAGCCCTAATTTGGCACAGAGGCTGGATGGTATCAGTTGATCTAGCAGCTGTTTACCTGCTGTTCTTTTACTTTCTCTCTGGATAACGGCCCATATCTCCACCTGTCACCTGTTGCTTTTCTTGGCACTTTTCCTGTATGACCACATGGGGTATCTCGTCTGGACAGATACAGATCAGCCTAAAGTTTACTGGTATATACATGTTATGTTTGTATTTCTTTGTTTTGGACTATTTTCTTTTTTTTTCTGTCACCATCTTCTGGTGATGTTTGGATCTGCAGATCACTAATTGGTTGATTAATGTGAGATAAATGATAGCTGATAAATGAACAGATGCATGAAAAGACTTCAAAACCCCTCTGTTAATGGGGAGGAGAAAGAGAGGGGATAAAAAAAAGGAAAAGCATGGAAAAGAAAAAAGAGGAAAAAGTAGCGGGAGAGAAAAAAGAAAAGGGGTATGAAAGGAAAGGGGGATAAAGAAGAAGGCGGAAAGTTGAATGAAAATGGTAAAAGAAAAGAAAAAGAAAGGGGGAAAGCAAAAGAGAAGGGAAAGGGGGATAGAAGAAAAGAAAAAAATAGAAGGGAAAATAAAAAAGAAATGGGAAAAGAAAAAGGGGAAAATTAAACAGAATTGATAAAAAGGAAAGAAAAAGGGGAAAGAAGAAAAGAAAAATGGAAAAGGGGAAGAAAAAGGGCAAAAGTGAACAGGAAAGAAATAGTGGAAGAAAATAATGTTTGCAGAGCATGAAAATAGGGAAAAAGAAAACAAGAAAAGGGGAAAAGAAAAAGTTATTTTTTTGCAATAAATAAATTATCTGTCAAAAATCACAGAAAAAAAACAGCTCTACGTCATTTTTGCGTAAGACAAAAAAGGGGACGGAGGTTAAAAAGGAAAAGCTGAAAAGAGAGAAAGAAAAGAGTTGGTAAAGAAAAACGGGGAGGATAAAGTTGTTTTTTGCAATACAAATTACCTGCAGCAACAACCACAGAAAAAAACATAACTCTACTTCATTTTTGTGTAAGAGAGAAACAAATAAACTGGGGAAAAGTAGAAAAAAAAGAAAAATCTGAAAAGATAAAAGAGGGGAAGAAGGGAAGTGGGGAAACAAGAAAATGTCTGTTTTCTGCTATATGTATAAATTATCTGGCAACAAACAGAAATAAAACCCAACTCTATCCATCATTTTTGTGTAAGAATTTATTTAGTTTATTATATAATAGTTCACAACATGCAATATACAAATGTACATCTTTTACAAGCGACCAACTCAAGCTCCTCCATATATTAAAATTTGATATCTATTTACACATTTTACAGTCCAGTCCAGATTTGTGAATGAGGTTGGTCAGTGACAGCCGCAGCTGCCGGCCACCATATCATCATACTGCTTCAGCACCACGTTCTCATCGTCGTCAAAGTACAGCAGGTTGATGCTGAAGAGCTTGTCAGGCACGCAGCAGGGCGTCTCGATGCCTTTGGTCAGTTTGAGGGCGTTGATGATGGACTGGACCGTGGCGTGGTTGGTGGGCCTCATGTTCTGACCCAGGGGAAATGGACAGGAGCCTTTGCAGTGGTAAGCGTTGTATCCGCGTGGAGACACGATCCACCCGGACCAGCCGATCTCCTCGAAGTCCACATAGAGCGGCAGACGCTGACACGGCATCTTCTCCCTGCTCTCATCATAGTCTATGGAGCGAGCGCTGCGACGAGCCGCAGCCGAGAGAAACGGGAGCCTGGGTCTAGCACGAGAATCATCTGAACCTGAAGACAAAGCACACTTTTAGATGCCATGGCCATGCAGATATGAGTGCAAGTGGCGCTCAACTTAAAATGTAAAAGTCAGCTATATATATTCCAGTTAGGGCTGCACGATTATGACAAAAATCATAATTGTCGATTATTCCCTTGAAATTGTGATTGTGATTATTAATTACGATTATCACAATTTGCACTGAATGATGTTTATACCATTGTTTGATGCAACTGCATGCCGTATTTTTATATGAAAATAAACAAGCTGAAAACATTCTAACTGAAAAACCTTTAGAGCTTTTCTATAGTATTAAGCCTCAAATGTCAAATATACATCGGATTGGTTTCTTCTTTAAATTATAAAAAAGTAAAAATATGAATGGTATTACAATGTTATACTAAAACTAAAACAATGGGGAAAACCCTTACGATAACATAAGTGGACTCTGAACGATTAATTGCCGCTTTGAATGATTACGTAATTGTGGCATCCATAATTGTAATCGCGATTAGAAATTCGATTAATTGTGCAGCCCTAATTCCAGTATGAAAAAAAAAATTATACTGTGAAAAAAAAATCTATATTTTATTTAATAATAACAATCATATATTTATAAATGTGCAAAATATTATTTGAAAAAAGTATTTAGTGTTACTTAAGTATCAATGAGATACTAATATATTTTTATTAACATTTTAAATACATTTTTATATTTTCTGTCTATATTTTAATTTTAGTTAAAGGTTTATTAAATATTTTATTTTTTTATTTTTTTATTTTACTTTAATAAGTATTTTAAGCATTTGTTTTGTGTGTGTTTCTATTACCTTACTACATTTTTTTTCAACTCTCCATATACTGTATCGTTAGATGTTATAGAAGATGGTATTTTATTTTAAGTTGATTAGTTTTATTCAAGCACTTTTTATTTAGTTATTTAATCTGTGTATTTTTTTTCTATAACACTCTATTTTATGATTTACTATAACATTATTATTTATTATTGTATATTTTTTCTTCAAACTTTTCCACTTTTTATATTTTATTTTAAAGTATTTTAAGCATCAAAATGTTTTTATTGTTTTAGTTTTAATTTTATCTAACTATATTATCCCTGTGTCTATTATACGTGAGCCTGGAGCACAAAAGCAGTGTTAAGTCGCTGGGGGATATTTGTAGCAATAGCCAAAAATACATTGTATGGGTCAAAATTATACATTTGTCTTTTATGCCAAAAATCATTAGGATATTAAGAAAAGATCATGTTCCATGAAGATATTTTGTAAATTTCCTACCGTAAATATCTCAAAACTTAATTTTTGATTAGTAATATGCTTTGCTAAGAACTTAATTTTGACAACTTTAAAGATGATTTTCTCAATATTTAGATTTTTTTGCACCCTCAGATTCCAGATTTTCAAATAGCTGTATCTCGGCCAAATATTGTCCTGTCCTAACATACCATAAATCAATGGAAAGCTTATTTATCCAGCTTTGACCTGAAAATTGGCCATTATGACTGGTTTTGTGGTCCAGGGTCACATATTACAATATTTTTCTACTTTCTATAGTATATATAATATTGTACTGTTAGATCTATTGTATTAAGTAAATGTTTTAAGTGTTTTTTTTTTCAATTATTTACTGTATATATTTTTACAACACCTTTTTTATTATTTAACCCTATATCTATGTATTTTAGCTACTTTCTTTTATTGTTACATTTTTTTTTTTTTATTATTTTTCCACAGATCCCACAGAGAAGATGTATTTGTTGAAATCACTCGTGGATCTTATTTGAGATTACAGTGAAGAAACATCCGTCTAATTGAGCTATTAAAGAGACATACCTTTAGACGTGATCCCCAGAGAAGCTGCCCGTCTGCCGTCGTCGGTGAAGAGGACCAGCATGGGCTGTTTGCTATGATGGTGGTTACGGCCTGATGCGAAAAGCACGGTTTTCAGGTCCATCTGAAGGCCTGCTAAAGTCTTGACCGAGACCAGGAGCCCCAGATTACTGCCCTCATCTGACATCCAAGAGCGCACCTTTGAGATATTAAACACATTTATTATTGAGGAGATTTTGCACGAGCAACTCTTTGGGTCTGTTCTAAAACCTAATCAGCTCCCTTCTATGGCAGCATTTTAACTCAAATACAACCTAAAGTTTGGAAGACTCTACATAGTCATAGCAAAAGATTTTATTCATACTTACAGCTTGAGTGATGGTAAAAACCTCCCAGCCGCTGGAGTGGATGGGCACCAGTCTGGATGAGAGCAGCTTCTTCCCTTGTGAGACGTTCTTCTTGCTGCTATCGAGAACCTGATAGACACTGACCTGCATAAAAACATCACTGCAATGATTAACCTGAAGAACCTTCTTTTAGAAGCGCATCATTTCAGACTGTAAATACTGTACCTGACAGAAGTGATGTCTGTTGAACGTGAGCGACGCTTGTGGTCTGAGCTTGAACAGATGAAGCTCGGCTGTGAGGATCTTCTCACTCTTAGCTACCGTGGACATGTTGAAGAGGAACTCAATTTGGTCGCTGTGCACTAAAGACAGAAGTCAGAATTCAGAAGTGAGAATTGGCACACAATCACACATACTTTATGCATATTTCACACCATCCCCCACCTCAATATTCAGATTAGCGGCTGATGATTTAGTCGGCTCACATTTAGTCTTGCAATCTTGAATATTTAAGTCCATGCTTCACTAAACTTAACACTAAAATATACACTTACACTTTTAATTGTACACTCTTATGGTCAAGCAATTCCATATTTCATAACATAAATAAAATATAAATGTTGATTTTTAGTTGACAATGTTTCTCATGATTTCTCAGACTTCTGAACACTAAGACATACAATAAGCTTAAAATTGTAAGTATAAACTATATGCAATTCCATATTGGTTTAGTTCCATTTTTATTTTTCATTCATATATTTGAATTCCATTAAAATAAAGTATCAAAATATTGAGTATCAAGTTTCTCAGGATTTAAAAACAGACTTGTTTAAATAATTTTTGTGTATTGAATCTTGATGAAACTGCAAACACTAAAAATATTATTTTACTTAAAATTATTTTTTAACTGATGAGATGGGGTTAATAAAGGAAAAACATCCAAATCAATGTGAACCGTTTCAAAACAGATTAAAAAGTGTCATAGGATGCACTTTATGAAGCAGGTTTATAGTTGAAAAACTAAAGCTATAAAACATGTTAATAAACCTTACTTGAAATAAAATATAAAAACAAAACTTGTTTTAGCAATAGTTTCCAAAGCATAATTTCTCATTTTCGTGTTTAAAATGATATACAAAAATAACTAAAGCTAAAACTGAAATAAAACAAATAAAAAGGACAAAACACAAAATTACTAAAACTTTAATAATCTATTAAACAAAACAAAAACAAAAACAGCAACAATTGTGACCCTCACTGTGAAAGCCCAGCTAAAGTCATTTTTGGGTGATTTACTGTTTTCTACAATCATCCTTCATAGAATATTCTGTGAAAATTTAACCTTGATATCTTTATTATTGACTGAGTTAGACCACGTCAAATATTTAAATCATAGTAAAAAATTAATGGTTGAAATCAAACTTTGATGCTTTTTATCTCATAATTAGATTTTGAGACTTTAGTCTGGATTTCACAGAGAGGGTCACAATTTTATTGAGAGAATAAGTCTGTATTTTTACACTCACACTTTTACATTTATTACGAAAAGAAGACAAATGCAGCCAAACATTTTTCCATCCCAAATAGGCTATTTGTTTTATGTTCACTGTCCCACTTCAAGTCAATAAAGAAGTCAGAATCTTACGTTTATCGAAGAAACTGCGGACGGTGTTTCCCTCCAGGAGCGTTGGGTCTTTGGTGACTCCGTCCACATCCGCGATGGTGTTATACAGGTCCAGCATGTACTGAGGAGGCTGTTTGTGTCCCCGGACCAAAGCAGCAGGAGGATCCTCCATCCCAAACACCTCCAAAAGCCTCTTGATGGCCTCCGAGCGCACTTCTGCAGACTCGTTTTCCAGGTGATTCACAGACGGTCTGCAGATGGCGAGTCCCATCATGGAGATCCAGGTCAATGCGGTCAACATGTTGACTGATCCTCAAGAGATGTTCTTTGGTTGCTGGAGCTGGACTGAATGAGGGCCAGATTGGCAGGGCTTTATATGATGTTGGCAAAGTCTTCGGTCAACAGCCGTAAAGAGCTGCTATTTAGTCGCAAATGTAAATCAACAATCAGCCAATGTAAAGCAAATCTAATGGCGGTGTTAACAAGGTGCGAACTGGACTGGTGGTCCTGTGGGGAGACCCTGAGAGGAAATTAGTGTTTATCTACCGTGCTATGTTGTAAATACACCCTACATATATCGATTTAAGAAATAAAATAGTTACATTATAGTTAAGATGTTTAATTGTATTACATTTTGTCTGTTTAGGCGGCGCGAAGTGGATTTGGAGGGAAGTTTGCTCACCGCGGGCGGTTGACTTCCCTCAAAATGGATCCATTAATTGAGACAAAGGAGGATAATGTGATACAGGAACAATAATTATTTCGACAAACACCGTGAGAAGGTTCCAGCATGTGCCCTATGTTTTCATGTTAATGGTAGACACACCTGCTCAAACAGAGATTTGAGTCCGAGCGAACTGAAATCGCCTAATTTTATCTAGTCAGGCTGGACTGGATTTACAATCTCGTATGTTAATGAGAACATGAATTTGAATAAATGGGCTCGAGTGTGAATCAATATAGTTAATGTAAGTGCGAGTGAATTCGCTGGGTGTTTTAGACTGCTTTAATTTCTCATCTGTAATTGATTGTTTTCATTAGGGGCTCATTACAGTGTGTTGATCCGGAGATTTCTTAATACTAATGGATTGCATAAGCTTAATGGATGGCATGAGCTCTTGTTATAGTATTAATGCCGAAGGAGACTGATGTTGCATGGCATCTTTGCAATCAGTTATTCTAGTTTCAGAGTCGTTGACTGATTTGGTTGACATCTTCCAAGCTTTAAAATCAAAGTAGGTGGCCCCAATTGATCCATCATTACATTTTATACCCTCAAAGACTATATTAGGTGCAAATACTGTCTGTACTATGCGGTCTGTGTTTTGAAGTTTTGTAGGATGCTTCTTGTATATTGTTTACAATTTTATATGATGAATTTGACATTTAATTTCTGGAAAAAAATGTGTTAGATTGTAAATTGTATATTCAAAAATATACAATACAATATACAAAATTTAAAAAAATGTAAGAAATTAGCTCTTATCTCATTATCTCTTTAAATACATTGCAAATGTTAATGCACAAGTTTGTCTAATGTTATCATTTTTTATTTGGGATAACAAGTTTTGTATATAGGCTGCTCCTAGTATGCTTGTTTATAATTTTATGTATAAATTGTGAATTTTATGTTTCATAGTTAAGGCCAGAAATTGTCTTACCCACTTTTGCCAAATTGGGTTGCTTTTTTAATGCAGTTTGAAATAACTTTGAATTGCCTTTCTATAATGACCTATTTGGGATTACAGTATTTCGTAGGCTATTTTGCATGTGTGACACCTCTTTGTCATTTGCATTTCTTGCTAACGCTTTAACTATTGGTTGATTTGTAACATGATTTAAAACTGAGACATGATTTGCATGTGTAACTTTCTTTAGTTGTTCTGTGCAGATTGTCATGTAATCCAAAGATGGTGGATTTAAAGACTGTCTTTCCACTTTCTGACATAGATTTTATTTACAAAATACTTTTTACATAATTTACATATATTACATAACAGCATCAGTGCATCATGCCTTTACACTTCTGTCCATTAATGCACAGCCCCAAACCTGACATTACAGCCCTGCAAATGCTCCATGGTTAAGTCATCCAGTAGAGGACGCTGTGTTTAAGACTGGCATAGACAGGAAGTAATGGCCAGAACGGTGCGGATTTGGCCGTGTTGACTGAGGAAAGTGTGGCTTTCGTAGTCTTGAGGAACACAAGCGTTGCCCTGTCCTTCAGCCCACAGCAGACATTCACCGTGATCTGACGCGCTCCTGCAGAAACACACAAGTGCCTTAGTCAACATCCAATAAAATGCACTCAAATCATCAATGGCAAAGGTTTAAAGGTGCACTAAATAACTTTTCAACTGTAAAAAAAAAAGTTTCAACCCTAAAATGAGCAAATCAATTATAAAAAATGTTTAAAATTATGTTAAATGATATATATATATATAGAGAGAGAGAGAGAGAGAGAGAGTTATATAATATTTAGCCAAATACAAACAGTTGACAGTTTTTGATATCTTACTAATAAAAAACAGATTTATTAACTGGATCTGAAACTTAAAATTTTCTCTTTTGTTTGTCAAAATGTAAGTCCTAGTATTTAACAATATCACACATTACAATGAGCCACAGCCTTATTTCTCACTAAGCCATAACCTTTTGTCTGTCTGCCTATTTTTACATTTATTCATTAACATGTACAAAAGCTGCTTACAGTTGTTAATGTAAATAGAATGTCCTTCAGCCCACAGCAGACATTCACCGTGATCTGACGCGCTCCTGCAGAAACACACAAGTGCCTTAGTCAACATCCAATAAAATGCACTCAAATCATCAATGGCAAAGGTTTAAAGCTGCACTAAATAACTTTTCAACTGTAAAAAAAAAAGTTTCAACCCTAAAATGAGCAAATCAATTATAAAAAATGTTTAAAATTATGTTAAATGATATATATAGAGAGAGAGAGAGAGAGAGAGAGAGAGAGAGTTATATAATATTTAGCCAAATACAAACAGTTGACAGTTTTTGATATCTTACTAATAAAAAACAGATTTATTAACTGGATCTGAAACTTAAAATTTTCTCTTTTGTTTGTCAAAATGTAAGTCCTAGTATTTAACAATATCACACATTACAATGAGCCACAGCCTTATTTCTCACTAAGCCATAACCTTTTGTCTGTCTGCCTATTTTTACATTTATTCATTAACATGTACAAAAGCTGCTTACAGTTGTTAATGTAAATAGAACCCGCATACAGTGAGTTTGAGTTAAACTTTTATTTAGGACAGAAACAACTTCAACATAAAAATCGACAAGCTAAATACAATAGTCAACATTTGAAGCGGATCAAAAAAGTTAATCAAAGTTGTCCTAAGACAAGAACGGGTATTGTTTTGGTTTTAGGACAACTTTGATGAAAGGTTTTGATCCACTTCAAAGGTTGACTATTATATAAATTCTATTTACATACACTACCGGTCAAAAGTTATAGAAATAACTAAGATGCTCACCTAACCTGCTTTTATTTAATCAACAAAAATACAGTGAAAACAGTAATAATTTGACAAATGATTATGATTGAAAATAACTGTTTTCTATGTGAATATATTTTAAAATGCAATGTATTTCTGTGATGCTGACATATAAGAAATTCTAATTCTATTCTATTATGCTGATATATAAGAAACATTTCTGATTATTATCAGTTGAAAACAGTTGCGCTGCTTCATATCTTTGTGGAAACCGTAATTCAACACAAATAAGTTCAGCTTTTGTTCAGCAAGAACAAATTAAATTGATGAAAAGTGACAGTAAAGACATTTTTAATGCTGAAAAAGACTTCTATATCATTTTCTATTCACAGTTTCCAGAAACATATTAAGCAACAACACATTGATACTAATGAGAGCCATTATTAATAATTGAGCACCAATATTAACTGAGCAGCAAGTCATGATGCTGAAAATTCAGCTTTGGCTCACAGGAATAAATTAAATTTTACGATATATTCACGTAGAAAAAACAATAAAAAAAATTTTTGCAAATTAAATTGATGAAAAATTGACAGTAAAGACATTTTTAATGCTGAAAAAGACTTCTATATCATTTTCTATTCACAGTTTCCAGAAACATATTAAGCAACAACACATTGATACTAATGAGAGCCATTATTAATAATTGAGCACCAATATTAACTGAGCAGCAAGTCATGATGCTGAAAATTCAGCTTTGGCTCACAGGAATAAATTTAATTTTACGATATATTCACGTAGAAAAAACAATAAAAAAAATTTTTACTGTACCTTTCATCAAATGAATGCAGGCTTGGTGAGCAAGAGAGAGAGAGAAAAAAATGAAATTTAAATAAAAAAATGTGTTACCATTTTGATGATACCTTAGAAAACAATGGAAATAACATATATAATGAACTAATAAGAAACTGTTGTATTTCTGCTTTGGATTAAAGACTGACCGAAGTGTCAAAGCAAACAGGGTTGTGTTTTGGTGCGCACTGTAAAGGGTGTGTGTGTGTGTGATCGTGTGTTTGCTTAGCTGTGTGTAAAGTCAGATGTGCGGCGTGTACCTGAGAAGACAGCGGCTCCCTGAGGTGCAGCTTCCCAAACATCTGCCAACATCTATTTCCTGTAAGAACATTAGCAACACAAGAGAGAGAGCCATCAGTTCACCACCTGCTGTTAATGCGGCACGGCCTCTTAACATGCTAAGTGCTTTGATTTGGCTCCTGCAGGGACCATTTGTGGCCTCCTCGCACCTTTAGAGTGTGGCGACAGACAGAGAACATCTGACACGGATGTGTTCAATAAGCACAAGAGATCGGCGTTAAACTTCAAAATGTGAGGATTTTACATGATTAAATGGCTTAGGATCTGTTTTAAGAATGGATTAATATTTAATATGAATTTGGAACTGATTTTCAGTGGCATTTTTAGCTTTTACTGGGTAAAAGTATAAAAAATAAAACACCACAAAAACATCCATGTCAAATACTTTAGGCCTAGAATCGAATATAATGAAAAATATCACATAAATATATAACATAAAATATAAAGAATTACTTTTTGACTCTGCATTTTAAATATTTGGGACATTTCGTCACTTTTCATGCCATCTTGCCTCAGAAAAAATGTTGCAATCAGGACAATTTAGGACATGCACTGTATGCATGCATGCAATCTATTTGGGGTTTTCAAGCACTAAGTAGTTGTTTAATGTGCAACATCTCCATGCATATTCACACGTCAGTTCAGTGCTGTCCAGTCATGGAAATGTGAACTGGAAATGTTTGAAGGGGGGAAATGGACCAGGATCCTGATCTTTAAGTCTAACAAATGGAGAAAACAAGCACAGATCACATGGAAATGACTAATTTCCTTTCTGACTAGCAGCATTTCCTGGTGTGAGATCTTTTGCTTCAGCATCAGATGATTGAATTTCATTTCAGTAAAGACTAGCTATTGGTTTGGCCTGTCAGAGGCTCTTATTTACCTTTCCGAACCTCCAATTTAACTAACCCGCTGACCACTGTAATATATAATTATATCATAAATTTCATTTATATCTAATGTCTGAAAGGTTACTTTCATGGATAACATCAACAACCATTATTACATTATGCTAGTTTTTAGATTCAACCAGTGAGAGAGATTTACATTTAATGGCTGAAGCAACCAAATCAGACAGAGATGAAATATATTGTTTAGAATAAAGTGTTAAAATAAATAACCCACTATTAGAAATTGGTTGAAACCCCTGGAAATTGTGCAAAAAAAAGTTTCTTTTGAATTACCCACAGTTGAAAGTCAATTCATGCAATTGCAATTGTTTGCTGGTTTGCTCACCCTCAGATTTTCTACTTTGACTCCGTCATCATTGTATGTGATCTCGTAGTGATACTCTACATACGGGATTCTGTAACATCCCTCCATTAGTTTGCACTGGGCCACTGTTTGGATCAACTCCACTTTGTTTGGAGTTTCAATGAGGGTGGAATCAAACTTAGTCGGCACGCATGAAAATCCCTCTGTAAGTAAAACAGATGATTAGTATCATCATTAGAAGATTTATTAGATGCATTTATTAGTGCACAAATTTAGGGGCACATCAGTTATTTGCTACTTAAAGGAACACTTCACTATTTTTGAAAATAGGCTCATTTTCCAACTCCCCTAGAGTTAAACAGTTGAGTTTTACCGTTTTCGAATCCATTCAGCCGATCTCCGGGTCTGGCGGTAGCACTTTTAGCTGTAGCTTAGCATAGATCATTGAATCGGATTAGACCGTTAGCATCTCGCTCAAAAATGACCAAAGAGTTTCGATATTTTTCCTATTTAAAACTTGACTCTTCTGTAGTTACATCGTGTACTAAGACCGACGGAAAATGAAAAGTTGTGATTTTCTAGGCTGATATGGCTAGGAACTATACTCTCATTCCGGCGTAATAATCAAGGAACTTTGCTGCCGTACCATGTGTGCAGCAGGCGCAATGATATTACGCAGCGCCTGAAAATAGGCTAACTTCCGTCAACATAACCAATCAACTTGACCACCTGCTTGCACAGGGAGCGTGCTGGAGACTATTTTCAGGCGCTGCGTAATATCATTGCGTCTGCTGCACACATGGTACAGCAGCAAAGTTCCTTGATTATGATGCCAGAATGAGAGTATAGTTCCTAGCCATATCGGCCTAGAAAATCACAAACTTAGTACATGATGTAACTACAGAAGAGTCAAGTTTTAAATAGGGAAATATAGAAACTCTTTGGTCATTTTTGAGCGAGATGCTAACGGTCTAATCCGATTCAATGATCTATGCTAAGCTACAGCTAAAAGTGCTACCGCCAGACCCGGAGACCGGCTGAATGGATTCGAAAACGGTAAAACTCAACTGTTTAACTCTAGGGCAGTCGGAAAATGAGCCTATTTTCAAAAATAGTGGAGTGTTCCTTTAAGCCACTACTTTTCTTTCCTGCGACCAATAGGATTGACTATTAGGGGTATACTCTATAGCACACTGATTATAGAGGGACTTTTACTTAGTTTTTTCTTACCTGGTGCCCCTTTCGATCCGACACATTTGCCCGCGTCTATGACGGTCTCGTACGGAGTCTCAGAGTAGTATGTTTTCAGTGATGGTGCTCGGACACACTGGCTCATTTTGGCTTCGCAGTGACAGTCCTCGATGATCTCGACCTCCCGCAGACCTTCATACAGCATCACGCGGTCCACACGCATCCCAGCCGGCTCACAGGTGGAGCTCAGTCCGCAGGACGGGGAACCGCTGATGGAGTCTGCAGCTCCTGAGGACTGATCCAGACGCCTCATCTATAATGGTTTTGGACAAAAATTAAGATGTATGAAAAACCCTTTATTGAATATACTTAAAGTAAAATAAAAATACTGATTTGACTTAAAAAAAGAATAAAACTTAGAATAAAAATTAAAAATATTAATATTTAAAAAAATAAATAATTATAAATATATGATTTATATAAATATATGATGTGTATTTTATGTACTGACAACTAATTTATAACATTATTATTAATATTATTTATTTAATTAAATAATAATTTATTAATGTTAAATCACTTCACTCATAAAAAGTAGTCACTTTCTCTCTACACTCAAAAAAACATTAAAAGAATGGATGTGAATGTGTATATTTATTAAAAAAAAATTATTTGAATCTAAAACAATAATACTTTCCATGCTTGTTTTCATTTTGAGAAATGTCGCCGTCTTGTGGTCAGTTGTAGAATTGCTTTACCTTTTTGTGTCTCAGGAATTCAAGCATGGAAGAATATTTGGAGGCTCTTAGCCCCGCCTCCAGTGATGCAGAACGCACTGATTGGTCACAATGCGCTCTGCACACGCCCACATCAACATTCACAGGACTGCCAGAAATATCTGTTACAATAAATAAATAAATAAAGGTAAGAAATTAAGAGACAGATACAGTCATAAAATCAACTACTCGAACATCAGGATTTGACAACATAATCATGACTATTTCTATTGCATTTCATTCAGCATTTAAAGTGTTTCTATTTTTATTGAAGTCAAATGACTAAATGGAACCTTTGCCAATGTAGATGATGTGACTTTGGCGTCTGCAGCAGGCTCTCTCTGTGAACAGGTTTCTGGATTCTGTGTTTTTACCTAAAACAGCTGTGACTAAATGACACAAATACACAAATGAGTCATATTAGTTAAATATTCTCATGGTAACTGATAGATACTGAGAGAAAGCAATCATTTGCAAAGAATGAAATTATTCAAGTCAATATCAAGACTGCATGTGACCAAAGTTATAATTAACTAAAATTAAAACCAAAACATTTTGAAATAAAAAAAAACGTATATATATATATATATTATTGTTTTATACTTATTTTATTTCTGCTAGTTATCAAGGCAACATATAACTACAAGCTATAAGCAATAATAAAATAATATGCATTCAAGGCAAAATATAAGCAATAACTAAAACCGAAATAAAAAAAAAAGAATAAAAATCCATATGCACAAAACATAATGAAAATGACAAAATTACTACATCTTTAAGTAAAATTAAATTAAAATGGAAAATATAAAGACGATTTCAAAATATAATTTTCATTTAGTTTAAGCTGTAGTCCTAAAATAAATACAAATGAAATAAAAATGAATAAAAACTACATAGACATATTCAAAAAAACTATAAAAATGATGAGAAAACAGCAAAATTACTAACACTTTGAGTAAAATTAAAATATAAAAATAAAAACTAATTCAACATACTAACAAAATTATACAAAAATAAAATTAAAAATGAAAATGCAGTACATAAAAAACATGGTACCTTATCTGTCATAAATTACTTAGGCAGTACCATGGTAGTGTGATGGTACCGTGCTGTTATACCATGGTACAAGAAACAAACCGTGATGGTGAATTATTTTTATATTTATATCTAAAAAGGCATTACAAATGTCCAAAAACCTGGTCTTTCCATACCATACATGCAGTATCTGATCTCCAAAAGTGTCATTTTAACTGTATTTGTATTTCAAAAGCATCATATTGTATCAATCACATGACAGACTACACTCACAGATATTTAATTCCAATAAAATGAATAAAAATCCATATGCACAAAACATAATGAAAATGACAAAATTACTACATCTTTAAGTAAAATTAAATTAAAATGGAAAATATAAAGACGATTTCAAAATATAATTTTCATTTAGTTTAAGCTGTAGTCCTAAAATAAATAAAAATGAAATAAAAATGAATAAAAACTACATAGACATATTCAAAAAAAAAACAATAAAAATGATGAGAAAACAGCTAAATTACTAACACTTTAAGTAAAATTAAAATATAAAAATAAAAACTAATTCAACATACTAACAAAACTATACAAAAATAAAATTAAAAATGAAAATGCAGTACATAAAAAACATGGTACCTTATCTGTCATAAATTACTTAGGCAGTACCATGGTAGTGTGATGGTACCGTGCTGTTATACCATGGTACAAGAAACAAACCGTGATGGTGAATTATTTTTATATTTATATCTAAAAAGGCATTACAAATGTCCAAAAACCTGGTCTTTCCATACCATACATGCAGTATCTGATCTCCAAAAGTGTCATTTTAACTGTATTTGTATTTCAAAAGCATCATATTGTATCAATCACATGACAGACTACACTCACAGATATTTAATTCACAAACAGATTATATTGTAGAAATATATCATTTATAATGATATATAATATTCAGATATAATATAATAAATAATCTATCTATCTATCTATCTATCTATCTATCTATCTATCTATATAATTTACCGCTGTCGTCACTGCTGTGGTTTATGATTCATCTAAAAAACAAAAGCATTTGTTGCTCATTTTAAAAGCATGTTCTGATCCCATTGTCTTTCATATCCTATAATATAATGTCAAAATATTATTTTAAACCTATGTTTTATCTAGAATTATTATACTCTCATATGTGAAAACACATATACATGCCGTGAGTCCTCCTCTGTCGGCAGAATAAACTGCAGCGGATCAGATGTGAGACACTTTCTCTCTGACAGCCAAACAGACAGCCAGACAGACAGACAGAGTCGTCCAGCTCCCTCTGACAGCCAGACAGAGAGACAGACAGAGTCGTCCAGCTCCCTCTGACAGCCAGACAGAGTCGTCCAGCTCCCTCTGACAGCCAGACAGAGAGACAGACAGACAGACAGACAGACTCGTCCAGCTCCCTCTGATGCCAGACGTCTGGTCCTGATGGGGATTGTGGCCGTCTGTTTATCTTTCGATCTAGAGGCGCTCAAGGAGACGTCTTATTACAACCATCAGAGAAAAACAGTCTTGTATAATTAGGTCATATTATGCAGTTATATATTAGTAACCTCTACACTGCTCATTCATGTGTGAGGAGAGTACTGGAGAAACAGATTAAACTACTAAACTAAGCAACCATGCAGAGAACCACAGAAAACCTTTATAAACAACTTGGCAACCACTTAGAACACACTATCAACTGCATAGAAATGCCATAGCGTTCACCTAATAATGTTTTAGCAAACCAAAATTGGATCCAGACACACAAACCTAAATTCGGCTTGCACGTGGAATGAGTGACAGACAGCTGGACGCTGTAATCCTGCGGCAGGAGGGGTCAGAGGTGAGTCAGCTGTCTGTAGGTGAGTGTGTGAGACAGGATTACACACACATTAACCAGCAGCGCAGAGAGAGTGCCACACGTGTGACGGGAGCAAGCAGACCGCATGTGTCTCGATGGAAGATTCTAGTTCATTGAGATGAACGTTACAGTTTTTCTCAGTCGCTTTGGTGCATTTCTCACATCACTATTTACATTTGCACAACAGTTAATGCAGTTCTCAAAACAATTAGTACAAACTGCAAAACCTAGTTGATAACCTGCAAAAGCGTGTCACTTGCTCAAAATGGATAGGTCATTCCTCAAAAGCAAGTATTCATGTCAATGAAAGTGTCAGTGTCATCAAGATGAAAAGTCCTGACACCATTGTTTATGAACAAGATAGTCAAATGGCTTTGTCATGTTTTCATTATGACAGTTTACTCTTTAAATGTTTTCCAATGCAAAAAAGTCAGATCTTGGTGACACGACCTGAAAATGCTCAAGACAGCGCTATATACTATTTGCACAGCCATTTGAAAAATACAGTAAAGTTAC